TGGTCTGTGTGTCGCTCCTCTTCCTCATCTCGGCCGCCGTCTTCGTGGCTCGCAAGGTGTGCAAGAGCAAGGAGCTGAAGGCTGCCCATGTGCTTTATGGGGCCGACAACTTGCAGAGCGGCCTGGCCGATGCAGCCGCCGCAGGGACCCTGCCCCGCGCCTATTGCTACGAGATCAGCCTCACCACGGGCTCGGGCAACAGCGACTTCCAATTCCTCAAGCCCATCGTGCCCAGCCTGCCGCCACAGCGCTGCGCCACGGCCCGGGGCCCCGATGAGGAACAGGATCACGATTTCCCCTGTGTCCCTGTCAGCACAGAGGACACGGCGCCAGACAATGCTGGGACTGTCTCTGCGGGACACTTCAACGCTCTTTCCTTTAACTAGCACCGGGTCTGAAAAAAACAGAGGTTTCACGGCCCGAGGGAAGAGAGGATCCCGGCTGCAGAATGAGGCAGTGTTTCCTCCAGAGAAACCTGTGTTTTTATTTGGCATAGCAAATTTCCTGCAAATTCCCAGTCAAAGTAAATTCGTCTTCCACTACAAAAACATTAATAAGGAAGGAAAGGTACTCACATTCTATCCCTCAGAGAGTAGTTTATTTTATCATTGTCACAGCCATTTCTGATCAGCTTAAGTGATATACTCGCAGCTTTCCTCTTGTGTGTCTTGCTGTCAGACCAGACTTTAGAATGCTTATACTTTGATAATGATCAATGGGACAATTTTATAGATAATTCTCACAATTGCTGAAATTGTCGAAAGCCCCTTTTCCCAGCTCAGTAAAGCAAGTTAGTTCTGAATATTCGGTCACGATGTTCTGTTGCCCCACGCCTTTTTGTTTTGGTATGGGGTTTTTTTGTTTGTTTGTTTTTTGGGTTTTTTTTTTGGTGGGGGTTGGCTGCGGAGGAGCCTCTGGATGTTTCTGTCTCAGATGTTTCTGGGTTCTGTGTGTCACATTTCCTTCTCAGTATGTCTGTCTCTACGGCCCTTGTGCATCTGCAGATGCTTCACTTCTGTCCAGCCAAAATTGCAATGCCGGCAATTCCAGCTCCGCAGAATCAAAGGCTAGATTGACCTTATGAGTACAGGGGTTTCATCTTCTTTCAGGCAGAGTAGAGTAGCAAAGTTAAAACAAAATTTTCCTTTGGTATATATTTTTGGTTTGGTGATGTATCCCTCTCAGATTGGCTTGGATATATAGCAGCAGAAGAAGTGTTAATATAGGCTATAACTGTCGAGAGTCATGAAAACTTATTCATTATCTTTGTGTGCATGGAAATTCCATATGTACATCCAAAATAATTTTGTGGATTTAGATTCAAGAAGAACTAGAATCCATCGCTTCGAGCTTTCTTTCCACAATCTTGTTTCAGAATTCAATGTTTTCTTATTGGGATGAGAAAGTTCTCCTCCTATGACTTTCTCCATTTCTGCTTGAGCATTTGCATTCTCTGTTTTGCCCTTTCTCCTGCTTTCAGAACTGTGTTTGAGCACTGCATTGCCTGTTTCCCTAGACACGGACTGCCACCCCATCTCTAATAACGGGTTCTTTATTGCTGTATGTGATGCACGAAATATTCGGAAAGCCGCACTAACTTTGTGTTGTGTAGATTAACGCTGTAAATTGATATACCTCTGGGTATAGAAACGAGAGAATGTGTTAGGCTGAAATAAAGAGAACACTCTAATTCCCATTTTGGTGATCGAATTCTTTATACAGAAGGTCTTTCCGGGAAAGTTCTGGTAAGACTTTTCCAAATTTTGCGCGTTCCTTTCTGTCTGGGAACCTTGCTAGACACAATGTTAGATGGGTACAGCTCCTGAGTTTGGAGATGCAGTGGGGAGAGTGTTCATTGCCATGCCAGGCCTGTAGCCATCATCCGATACCTGTGCGGTTTGTCGTGACAACCAACGTGGCTAGGTCGTTGAGGGTTGAGACTGGACTTTATATTGGACTGGGAAAGGCGGCGTTCGGGTTTTGCGGCCGGGTGTGTCGAAAGGTTTGGAATCGCGGGCCGGGGCGAGCGGCAGCGCGGGCTGCGGGCGGCGGCGGGTGCAGTCCCAGCGCGCACCG